GTGCCGTAGCAGAGTGCTTCAATTTAGACAATCTGGTGTTCTTCAACGTGAATCTAAATCTAAGCACACAGACCTCTGGTGTTGCTCCTTTATTGAAACGCGTCCGCCACGGCCGTGCGACGAAAGTTAATAGACGATGCCCGCCTTAAGGCAGCTTGAAGTAGAAAAAAATTTCTAGAAATGCTTTCGAGATAGACAACAAAGCATTGCACTATGAGGTTCTGCGTGCGCTAATGCACCATTTTAAGAAACGCAACACAAAAAACCAATCGATTAGCCAGTGTTCCTTGTACAAGGCTGTGTTACTTCACTTTTCCTATTCGAAAGAAATCAAACATTATGTCGCTATGGTTACCTAATGTTCGACGCAGAACTGGGCAGGGGTCAAGCAGCACTGACCCATTCTATCCGACACTCTTGCGGTGGTGAAGAATCTGCTAGTGTTATATCTTTTTTCGGCTCCAAATGCTATTAACGGAGCCATTTATAATATTGCCATCTCAAACTAAAACGTCCACAGTCGTCGTACGGAATATAATGATATTTGATCACCGCTCTAAACAGGCGTGCCAATAAGTATTTCCTTTCGAAACGGTAACCGTCAAAGCTGCTAACAATAGCTACAGCCCAGAACAGAGAGCCATGACGCTCGGCTTAAACTATGCGAAAGTTTTATTTATTGCACTTGTACCAATTTACGAAGTAAGCCTTGTAGGTTCAATGGTTGCTGTGTCGGCAGGAAGGGCAGATGCAGGTTCACTGCAAGCACTGTTCAATACGCGAGAACTTATTCTTCTAAAGCATGAGTATATGCAGCTCAATTCTATCACGTTTCTGTGTGACTTACTGTTCTGTCCTGTGTGCAAGCAAGCAATTCCTGTGAAGGTAAAAAATTTCTTGCTTGACAAGCTTCAGTAACAAGAGAGTTTAGCTCTGTAATCATGACTGACTGATTCAGAAAGTATTATGGGAGTGGACAAAAACAGCTCCTCGTCTTTGACCAGCGAAAGGTTCTTTCTATATTTTTCAAGCGCAAACGATATAGTGGAAACTTAGGAGACAGAATAAAGGCTTAGCAGACAGGCATATTATTGCGCTCTAATCACAGCAGAAAATCTTGCATTTTCGACATTGCCAGTACGTAACTCATAACCATCTTGCTATTTGCATGGTGTACACCTGCGAAACATACGGTATACCATATTTGAGGTTCAAATATGCCAGACATGTCTTCAGAGGCCTGCTCATGAAGAAGCTGTCCTGCACTGCTTTAGAATACTGCACGCGATGAAAGTCCAGCACACTTTAAAATCCCGGGGACGCATCACGGCCACCACCGCGATCGCCCCTTTCACGACCAAACAAAAGTCGCACCACTATAGTGGCTTCTATCAAGCCAACATTTTTGGCAGGAGTTGCTTGCCACTGATTAACAGTTGCGATAAACTCGTAGACCACTCCTTGGTCAAATGATGGAAAGAGCGTTCCTTCGCTGAAGCCACCCATGAGCCAGCCGTGAAAAAAAAAGCGCATAAACCCCGCGAATTGTGTTAGTGCGTGTCATGTATTATGCACTGCTGCTGCCTGCACACGGGGATCTGCTTCGACCACTGTTCGCGAGCCTTTGCCTGATCTTCTAAAGCACCTGTACAACTGTTGGAAATGTAAACCTGAGATTACAACTGGTGATTACCGCTTAAGCACTGGGGTTGTTATGAACGACCAATTTCAGACATATTTGTAACAACGTAAATGTAACGCGAAAAGACGCGCAGAAGGAAGGGTACACCACAAGCGCTTTTGAGACATATTTGGTTAAACGCACGAGCACGGCATACGAGTATACGAAGGACAAAGAGTTAGTGTCAAATTATTGATCCCTCGCCTTTGCCGAGCTGCCCGTTCCACCAAGTGTGTTAACGTATGAACTCTAAAGTGACTTTGAAAGAGGAAAGGGGGGAAAAAAGTGCAGTTCTGTTACTGCTTCTCTCAATGGAGGCACCTCCACAGTCCTGCACAGGGATGGGGGGAGTGGGAATTAAAGACACAGAAGAAAGGGGTAAGAGGAGGGTGGTGAGAAGCATTCGATCACTCGCCTCACGCACGCGCGCAAGAAACCCAACGCGGCAGACGCGATACACCGAAAGACCGGCGAGAAGCAGGGGTTGAGGAGATGCGCCCGCGAAGGGAAAGAAAGAAAAAAAAAGAGAAGAAAAAAAAGAAAACTCCCAGCTTACTGTATTAGCCTAATGCAATTTCACACGCATGAATATTATGCCATAATGAGTTTCACTGCAATATTTATTATATGGACTTTGAAAGACGAACGTGTCTACTGAGTAGTTAAAAAATAACTTGTTGCTGGGCGAGCTGGTGCCATTACCGCAAAGAGGATACCTTCCCTATACACACGTATAAACCAGACAAACACACATGTGCATCTGGTTTATACGTGCGTGGCGCAGTCCTCCCCTCTACTGAGCCTGGTGCGATGCAGTCCCTTTGGCACTGCAACGCGTTCGTTACGTGGGCATATACCCGTGTTTCCTCATATTCGAGTTGTACTTATCCCGGACTTCACTAAGAGCTACGAACTAGCAAAAACTTGGGACACACAAGAAAACACCATGCTTCCAATGCCATTGAAATACTACGGTGATCGTTTCGCCAAAAACAATAGTGAGTTCCTGTTGTTTACTCAGGCATAGGTAAACGCTGACATTAACGGACTATGCTTAGATGTTAGGGAGTTTTAGAATAGTGCACCGCGAGCCCTTGCGGTGTGTCCGCTGCTACTGCTCATGCGTCGTAACACGAGTCGGCATTCACGCCGAGAAGTTAAGTAGCGTCTGTCACTTTTCCCACATATCGTATCCTGCTCGCAAAACATTTCCACATCGAGTCTTGAACCGTATAAATACTGCTTATCTGGATTGTCGTAGTGAATCCGGCTGGGTTGCACAGATATACTTTTATTTGGACGTAAAATTAGGGGACGGTAGGCTTTGCTACCACCGGTTTTACCAAAATCATGAAGTTATATACAATTAACGTAAAAGCAAGAAAACAAAAAGCACTAATAAGAAAACACTATGCACCTACAATCTCGAGCATTCAAATAAAGTGTACGTGAGCATGGTTCATATAGGGTGGTCATTTTGGAGGTGGTCGCGTCACTTGCGGTGGTGCAGCATATGCCGTCCATGTTTAGTGTCTCCATTGCATGGTTGCACCACTTCAAATGATTGTGCTGCACCAATACAAACGACAACTACTGGCGTCCGCTGGCAACACGAAACTTAAGAATCCAACCACAAAGCGGCAGGCTTAGAGCTCATGGTTGTCAACATCATTGTTTACACTGATACGAGTGACGCATGAAGCGGTGTATGCGTGGCATCTACCATTTCGTCTTCATGAAAATGCCACAGCCGAGATCGAACGTGCGCTATTTTGTTTACGCTCTCTACGTTCCCGTAACTAAATTTCGGTTGGAATTCTGCACTCGTCGGTTCCTTGTCATTCTGTGCATCACGCATGGTTCGAGCCGCTCATTTGTGTGGAGACCCAATGCTAGAGGCCCGTGTATTCTGCAATGTCACCGCACGTTAAAGAGCCCCAGGTCATCAAGATTTCCGGAGCCATTCGCTACGGCACCTCTCGTAAACACATCGTGGTTTTGGCAAGTAAAACCAAATATATTATCATTGTTGTTATTTCCAATTTTTGTCGAATATAAGATTCCCATCCCCTGTGAGACAATACGTCACCTTAAGCCAAGGAATGCACCAGAGAACTGAAACTTCCGCGGGAGATATCCGCCACCAGACACTTAAGTCAAGGATTAGAGTCGCCTCTAATTTTAATGTAACTGGGGTACAGTGATGGAGTGAACAACGTGAAGAAGTGTTTTTTTTTATTAAAACGAAAGCTTCAGCAGGCCCAATTAGTTATGCCTGCGCGTATTACTGTGATTAACATAGAAACAACAGTCATACAAACGAGTACTGAAATTAATGAGAAATCGTCAAGAGCACACAAAACACACTATAGAAACATCACTTGACTGGCACGATGCGATAATGCTTTAGCTCGTCACAGTTCTGAACAGTAAGCGCGCGTTCCTAAAATAGTTTAAGAGTTCGTCCACTTTGAAAATCACGAAGGTGAAATGTAACTCTCAAAAATGATTTTTTTTAGTCTTCAACTTACAAACTTGAGCTTGAAGTTCACCCTGTAACCACGCTCATCACAGTGTACGTACCTATAAAGTGACATTTTTACAGGCATGCAAAGCTTACAGTGAATTACGCATCAGAGTTTTGTCTTGAACACCATCTGTAGTTTTGCTTTCTATAAAACGCAGCTCTTCGCTATAGCGCAGCGTTGATATCACACAATACTGTGCGAAATGAAAAGCTCGCTACACGAAACACCATCTGTCACCTCCACATTCGGTAAATGATCGGCTGGCAATTAAAGCACCGGTCAAAAAAGAAAACGAAACCTGCGAATCTTGTAGCACGAATGAGCCTAGACTAATGGAACTGTTCAGTTGGCACTGGCGTTTGTGCTGCACGTACTTGTCCTTGAAGAAGCAACGGACCCAGACCCTGACAGCGACAATGCTTCGTGCCGAAGCATCGGATTCAACAACATTCGCTTGCAGCTATGGAGTGTTGCCCAAGATGCCAAGTATCGTTGTTAAAATATTGGCTCTTGTGACATTTCTTCGATCATTTGTTGATCACTTTTCTCCCCGTTGACTTCGCTTGAAGAAAAAAAAAACGCACAGATCAAAGTCCACACTGTGTGTTCGCATAGCCAGCCAGTCGGCTTCTCCCGTCACAGTTTTTGTGCAAGCTCCAGAATCTGTACGTATAGGAACACAGTAGATCTGATCAGAGTCTGCCACAGCCGTCCCCTGGTTACCTCACCCGCAACGTCACCACTGTTCGTTACACCCACGTCCCCCAACTGAGGACCGGTTTTCGCATACGTCACACCTGCGTGAGCGACGTCTTGCAGGACTGGCCGCCGACGCCTCCGCGTGTGATGGGCGACGAGGACCAGCGCCTGGCGTCGCTCTTCTTGTTGGACGACGCCATCCCCGACCCTCGCACCACACGCCTCCTGCGCAAGCCCAGGATGGCCAGGAACTTTGAGCGGAACTTGTGACTGAACACGCTGTACAGCAGCGGATTGCAGGCCGATGACGTGTAGGCCATCATGTTGACGATGATGAGGTACGTCCAGGTCTCCTCGAAACGTTGACTCGAAAGCGTGTTGTACAGAAGCAACACCTGCGTAGAAGCGTTCAAAGGTCAAAGTAAAAAGTGCGTTCGTGTTTTTTACAGTTCTTTTTGTTAGAGATGCTGTGGTTGTTTACAATATTGTCTGTCAAACACCTATGACCTCGCGAAATATTCAGTGCCCGTAATAAAATGTTTTAGGGCCAAGCTTCTTAAGCTGTGAGTCGTGCGTCCTCGATGTATATAGTAGTTGTAGGTAGCCGCATTTCGTTTAGTCCTTCTAATGCCCGCTAGATGGTGATACTTGTATATGATGAATGTATTATAAAAAGATGCGAGATCGCGGGACTTGGAGTGTCCACTAGACGGACGCATGGACGAAAGCGCGAACGGGCGGCTGAACAGACGGACGGATGGACAGAAGCAGAGACGCCCGGAAGGACACATAGACGAATGGACTGACGGATGCACGGACGGAAGTAAGAACAGGCGGACAGAAGCATGGACGGATGGATGCACGGGTGGATTGATGGACGCTTCGCCCCACTCATCATCATTCACTCCATGGATATGCTGTGATTTTTTTTTTCATTCTCGTAGTGAAGTGGTCGGGGTTTTCAGAATATTTTGATATACATGTCACCTCGCTGTAGGTCACGCGCTACAAGGGTCACATTGAGGCAGGGATGGTCAAGTCGTTCACTGTACAGTTTTTTTTCTTTTTCGTTATATATACAGTCGTTGCAAGAACATGCGGGCGTATCGAATACTTTTTAAAAAATGTTTCAGTACTGCTGTAGCAATGCAGTGTCTGGATGGTCGTAATGTTTTAACGCAAACCAGCATATAAGACTCAGGCGACTCCGTAAATCAAGGCATAAGAGAAAAACCTACTAACCGTAAAAGTATACAAACTGGTGTACACTACTAACAGATTCGAAGGTGACGTCACTTTTTAAAATTGGAATATAACTGTTGGAATGAGCAGTTTCTCGGAACGAACCCGTCATGTTAAGAATCATGTTGGCTCTGATGTTTGAATTCGAAGTGAAATTACGCGAATACGATCCCGAATGAAGATGGTGGAAGCAAAGTTATCTGCTTTACTTAGCCCTAAACTGTCCTGTTTCAGTTCGTGAGTACTGCACATACAAGGCAGAAGTAGTAATAAAAAAAAAGACTGCATAACGATATCTTGACTGACTCCAGCCCCTCGTGAATCGGCACTGAATGTGCCAGCACTTGTATTGTACGCACAGGGCAATGCCAGACAATGCGTGACAGTCAAAGGACGCTTCCACCCCTTGGAAGTGGGAGAGCCAGAAAATTACATCAATTCAAGAAGCTGGAATTATGAGCATTAACAAAATATGTACAGTACTCTAAACTTGGCATAAACAGTGCTACGGCGTGACAAAGAAAGAAGCGACAGGACCAATTGCTGACTGACAACAAGGAGTTTTTACTTCGCCGCAATGTAATATACACTCTCGAAAAAAAGGAAAAAATGAACAGAAGAATATCATGAGATTTATGATGACGTACCCCTATTTTCTGGGAAATCGTATATGCGCTGGTCAAAGAGGCCGTTGCCTAAACAATTGGTTGCGATGGCATGCAGGCAGCATGAAGAACGCGACAAGCAGTAAACTTACCGTATACATTGTGCAAAATATGGATCCTCGCCCCACTTCGACCAAACAAAAATACTAAAAAATGCAAGAACCGGTGCATCAGGGAAATCTACGTGGCCCACGTGATCCATACGTGCAATGAATCATCTGTTCCAATGGCTTCTATATTCCTGCTCAAGATATAGCATCATTATCTAGGCCATTAGAGATAATCTTCGCGCACGTGCAGTCAACAGAGCTGTCGTTATATATTTTCGTTCATTTTTTTTTCGAGAGCATATAATCTGCTGCGGCGAAATAAAAACTTGTTGTCAATCAACGCTCGGTTCTGTCCTCTCGTTCTTTGCCTCTTTGTAGCACTGTTCATTCGAAGTTCCACATGGTATCATCAAGCCTGCATTCACGCTTTATAAGAGTCTATTCTTGGTTGCATTGGTCACAAGAAGAGTATATTCTCGCAGCGGCTGCCTTATCGATGGTGTCGAAAATGCTGTAGGCCCGTGTGCTTGCCCACCAACTTGCCCAAGCTTCCACGCTTCATAACTTCGTGTACTTAGATTTGGGTGTACGTTAAAAAACCCCAGGTGGTCGAAATTTCCGGAGCCCTGCACTACGGCCTCTCTCATAATCATATGGTGTTTTTTTTTGGAACGTTAAACCCCACATATCAATCAAGAATATATTCTTGGTTGCATTGGTCGAGCTTGGGGGTAAAACTTTGTAGCTTTTTAACTAAAAGGCATGGTTCCAACTTGAATTAGCAACTTTTATTTTAAAATACCGCACAATTAAGTGATTCATTGAAAGGTTCAATATAAACGTATATGCATCCGTGTACGCCCACACTGCGGTAGCTTTGCGGGAGCTACTTTTTAATGATGCTGGAGCGTATATTAAGTCCCAGCACATCTGAAATCGAACTCATATATCAAAATTAAGGCTGTTTCCTGCGTTTATACTGAAACAGCGTTGAAGAGTTTGCTTCACACTTCTGCCACGCTATTGCCTTTTTTTTTCTCTGATAGCTTCTATTTTCACAAGCTAACTACATCACTGGACTTGTACCCAGCTGGATGTTCCGTCCTGTTTATCACTCTTCGATGTTTCTCTGTCATTTTTACAATAAAGGGACCTCATCATTCACCCGTCCATAGATAGTCAGCACGGATCATTTTCTATTATCTTATGCACGTCTAAACGTTCGTCGAGCTTATCGTGAAGTGGCGCTAATATGTGTTGTCCTTACCTGATGTGGCGAGAAGCTGATGAAGTAGACGGTGACTCCGGCCACCAGCATTTTGATGACGCCGCGACGGGCCTTGACTGACCGCGCGTACTTCTCACGGCCCACGGCTGGAGCCATGGAGCGGAACGACTCGGCGCTGAACAGCCGGAGGCCCACGATTGTGTACAACACGCACTGTACGAAAAATCCAAAACAAGAAACCCGCTTCATCAATTGTAATTTAATTATTTTGTTTTAATTATTGAAAACTGTAAGCCAACATAGAACATACGATTGTGAACCATGAGTATACGCGCAGGTACATTTCGCAAACGAATAGCACCAAAACAGTTGTGCCACTTAGTACAATGCTTTATGCGACAAATATGTCTATATATATATATATATATATATATATATATATATATATATATATATATATATATATATATATATATATATATATATATATATATATATATATATATATATATATATATATATATATACATATATACATAGAGCAAAAGAAGAGATCTTCTTTAGTTTTACATAAGCAAACATTAGGGATATGCAAAACTGACATTACAAGAGTGAAGTCATCAAAGCATAAATACAGTTATTTCAAGCGGTTGCACAAAAAAAAGAGCTATTTTGTTTTGGCGATGAGATCAATCACACAACATTCATGCATGCATGTGGCGGAGCGTAAAAAAAAAAAAAAGCCGAAATCTTACTTTTAGCTGCGACGCAGTCTTATGTACTCAACGAGAACATTTTTGTGACGGCAACTAAAAATTCCAAAATTTTAATTAACGATCATGCAACTAGCGTTTCTGAAAGCGTAAGTAATAATTCAGAATGACGCGCTTAATTATCAAGAGAGAAAGTTGGAAGAAGGGGGCCAGCTAACGGATTATGCTAACCGTAAATTGTAGCCACGCCTGCCGCTACAGTAATTAATGACTTCCTGGAAAATCGCTGTTAGCATTTTCTGACTCACCTGCAGCTAAAGTTGTCTTTAATTTACCGTCTTGCTCGGCTTAGCTGATCGCGTGATCGCAGCGTCTGCGAATCGCCTTGGTCAACTATGCATGGCTTGCTAGATTTCATCGATCGCTGCTCGTGGTTAATTTTATTCTTCGTTTGTTACATGTAAAAACACATAAAGTGAAACTTGAGCGATGGTCCCGCCGAATTAAAATGCGTGCAGTCATATAACTGCTCCTTTCAAATTTCGAAGAAAACTTACCAGGCGTCGTCGTTATTTTTTTCGTTAATACAGATAACTACAAATCACTTTAGACAAGCGGACAAACAGCAGATAAGCAGTCGCTGAGCTAGATTCCTCCATGAGGTAGATATCATTTGCGCGTAAAACGAATATAAATTGGCTGTTATAAATGTATGTCTACCACTTTTTCAATTAAATGAGTTTGCGGTACAGGTCACAGTATACGAATTCTAGTCCCTGAGTAGGCTGATTAGAATTCCTGTACTGTGACTTGCACAGGAAGAAAAATCAGTTGAAAATGTAGCAGCTATAACTTTTATCAGCCAATTTATACTCGTTTTACGAGTAAGTGATATCCGTGTCTTGCAGGATTCTTGCTCAACGACTACTAATCTGCTGATTGTGCACTTGTAGAAAAAGATTTTTTGTTATCTGTATTTACACAAAAAAAAATGATGAAGACGTCCGGTAAATCGCATGCACTGTCAATAAGTTTCGGGGGCGACAATAATTTTGAGCTATTTATATCATCACTGTGCGACGATAGGTGGAAGTTGTGGGTGACACTGAGCTCCATCATTTATAAAACACTATTTAGTGGAGACTAAATACAACGGAAGTTAATTTGCGCTGCAGCTTTCACGCAAGTGACTCGATATCCCCGCCCCTCTGGTATTTCGTTCCGGGTAAACATGTCATGCAAATTATCAAGGTAAAGTTTGCCTATTGAAATATGTATCTTAGCACAAATAATTAGATAATAGCATAAGTTTTTCTAATCAGACAATTAGGCATTTCGAATTTCAATGCAAGTGATTTCAACCGCATCGAGGTGACTACAAGTACGCTTTACGCTGGACAACAGGTAACTTCTGAAAAATCGTGTATTGCCCTAAAGATCATCTTGTATGGACAGCAATCATTTAATCAGAGTAAGAGCCCCGCCGTGGTGGTCTAGTGGCTAAGGTACTCGGCTGCTGACCCGCAGGTCGCGGGATCGAATCCCGGCTGCGGCGGCTGCATTTTAGGTGAAGGCGACAATGCTGTAGTCCTGTGTGCTCAGATTTGGGTGCACGTTAAAGAACCCAAGGTGGTCAAAATTTCCGGAGCCCTCGACTACGGCTTCTCTTATAACAATATGATCGTTTTGGGACGTTGAACCTCACATATAAATCAATTCATCAAAGTGAGAGATTGCATTGGCTCCTTAGAGTTATCGCGTTTCATCACTGTACGAGTAGATGACTATGCAACACTTCTAACTGGATAAAAATACTAAACACATGTCTAACCTTTATTCAGGACGTAAACGCCACTTTGGAGACCCGTGCGCACATTACAATGCAGAAAGGGTGATTAAGCTACGAGAAGGAGACCGCAGAACATCCACATCTTCCTAGCTTAAGTTTACGCTAAAATGAGAACGGAGAAAAGTGTCCGAAGGGTGAACTTTTCTTCGGTACAAGTCTTGCTCACGCATAAAATCGCATTTATTATTGCACGACAGAATATTTGCTGCGCTGGTTGACACGAGCGCATCACCCCCCCCCCCCCCCCCCGCCCCTTCTACTTTCTTTGTAATATATGCCTCTAAAGAGAGGTTTGAAGGCGCTGTCTATTTCCTCGCTGATACGCACAATATAGCGAAGAAAACTTCGGGAAGAGAAAAGCACTGATGTATTCAGGAGTTCCTCCGACTACAGTTCATGGGTCGCAACAGACGCCATACAAGTATCCATATTAGCGGGGCAGAACACCAACGTCTGAAGTAGCCAATGGAAAAAAAGGATGAAAAAAAAAACAGAAATATCCCGACAAGGTACAGCACATAGCGGAAAAAAAGAGAGTGCCGGCTAATCATTCAAATACAGACAAAATGACGTTTCGTAGCCACCACGGGGGTTTTGTTCACTATGACAGAAATGTGTTTGAGTGGCGGTGGTTATACAGGTTTCATGATGTAGCATGAGCGTCGAGTGTATGTCGGTGGTATATGTCTGAATGGGAAGCAGGGTTTTAATGAAGCCTTGCAGATTACAGATGAAGCCTTGCCCCCGATAAACGCTCGATGCATACGCCACATTATGCATCCTACGCAACCACCGCCACTCAAAACATTTCCTTCCTTGCAAACAAGACACGTTTTTTGGCTTATATAAACGACTTTTTCATTTCACCTAAATGACTTGTCAGCGTTCTCTCTTTCTGCCAATAATTTTACCGATTAGACGGGCTTCTGTCAAAACAAGGCGATTAACTGGGCTAGTTGCTGCACGTGGGTTTCAATAAAAGCCAGCGGGAAACAGGAAGCACACAGAAAGAAAACGACGGCATAGGCTGCCATTTACAAGCGATCAAATTGTGCTTGAAGGAAAGAATAATAAACTTAAAAGCTCAAAGTTAACAGGCAATAGAGGAGGAGGAAGAAAAGGAAGGAGAGGCATGCCGGTCAACCTGACGAGCATCCGGTTCGCTATCTACACTGGGGGAGATTCAGGGATGAAAAGAGAGATAGAAAGAAGAGAACATAAAAAAAAAACACGTGAGCCTAAAGTATACCGCTGCGTTCGATAGTAGCCGACGCCGTACTTAAGAAGATAATGCCAAGGAAAGTATAGGGAAGGCTATTGTGAGTAATTTCCATGCAAATGTGAAGAATGAAAAGATAATGAGAAGTCAACTTGCCACAGGTAGGTACCAAGCATGCAACCTTCGAATAACGCGTCCGGTGCTGTACTAACTGAGATACAACAGCGGTCATCTCTGCGTCCACATTATAGGGTATCTATGCGCATTTTTTGTTTCGGAGAGTGTCATTCAGCGCAGCCAGTAGCGTGTGGAACACTTTGTTTGTGCATGTTGGTACCACATAGCTTGTGATCCTATTACGAGCTGGTAGCTGACCAAGAGTTCCTCGCATACTAACACAAGGCATCAAGTCTGGCAGAACAAGACCCTTGCTATGAACGAAGGAAAGTGTAAATACACATTATTGAGGAGAACAGACAATGATGCAAAGGAAAGTATAGTGAATGTTACGAGTAGTACTTGTAATGTAGATGTGTTTAAAGAAAGAAACGAAGACAAAGAGCGTATAGTTGAAAGCAAGACCTATACCTGCCAGCCACCACCTTGTGCATGCGTGAAGCAGACATGCATAACATTAAACAAATATTAACAAGCTATTACGGCGTCTAGCAAGCTGGTCTCCAAACCAGACAGGTGTATCAACGTGTCATTAACAAGTTTTTTTAGGGGCGAAGCTCTTTAAGGCGTGGGCTGTGCATCCCTTATATGTAGCCACCTCTCGTTTAGTTCTTGCAGTGTTCACTAGATGGTGGTGCCATCCCCTGTATGTTAGAGTTACTCTATATGCTACCTAGCATATAGGTAGCATATACAGTAACTCTGCTGTACGTAGCCAACTCCCGTTTAGTTCTTGCAGTGTTCACTAAATAGCGGTACCGGTACTTGTAGCTCGTGATGAAAAGATGCAAGATGTTATAAACTAGATGGCCGTACTTGTAGTTGATGATGAAAGATGCGAGATGTTATAAAGTAGAAATGACGCCACATATGGCGCTTGTCATCGGTGGAAGGCAATCGTTCAATTTAGTGCGGCGACGTATGCTAGGGGGAGCATTGTAATAAAACCGAGTGGGCAAAATGTACAGTGGATTCATGGTTTACCACGTTTACCTCCGGAGTTTCGCCCACGCATCATCATTCCCTTCGTAAATATGGCGGCACTTTTTTTCCTCTTTCTTAATGTAGTTCATTGTAATTTTAGGTGGAACAAAAGACGAAAACCCAAAGGGAAACTTCGAACGCATTGTACGTCAAGAAAGAAGGAAATAACTGCATCAGTGACATGCCGGTCCTCATGTCTGGTAAACAGGAGAACTTTCTGGATGTCATGTTAACTCATTGAGATTTCGTAAAATATGACGCATGGCTGCTTCGCAAGAGCGCAAGGCGATTGCTGGAGGGCATAAGTTTGCCTTTCAAGCATGCTTTTGATCCTCATGATCAATTGGGAGTGCCAGCTTCTCCCGTCACTCTCTGTGTACATGTGCTTCGTGCTTCCCGCTGATTTTTATTCAGTTCTGTGGAGCCCTCAATATCAATGTACTATACATTATTATACAGAAAAATGTATTTACCTGGGAAGTGGGGCGTGGGGGGTCAAAAGTTCTTAGGCCACTATCTCATGTGTTTCTAAGCCTGACCTGGGAACTTTTTACAAGGACTGTCCATTCGAGAGCAAAAGTATATGGACCGTACTGGTAATAAGAGTGCGTAAGCAGACCAGAAACGAGAGACAGGGTGACACAACGTTTGTGTAACTCTGTCTCTCGTTTATTGTCTGCTTACGCACTCTTGTTACCACTATCTTCAAGTACAAACTCTTCCTAATATCACTGCTTGTATATGAGCCACAGCAGCGCGTGTCAGAACAGCCGTCTGTGCTGTCTTGCGGCAAGACGTCTGCTGTCGAGAGCATTTCCCTGGCGGAATCGCTGTCAAGAACGTTGATGTTAGGGGAATGCGCGAGAGAAATGCTCTCAACACCAGACAGCTCACCACTAGATGGCGCAGACGACAAAAGTATACGGACGGCATTGGCCCGTATACTGTTGTTCTCAGGTGTACGTACACGTCAGGCCCATAGCCAGGGGGGTTGCCCTAGGGCATGTCCATGTTTTTTTCCTCTTCGTTCCTAGTTTCGCGCCTACGAATATCGTTACAGTTAGTCACCCCCTCCCCTCTCTTATATTCGGTTGAGCAGGGTGTTTTAGCCAAAATAAATAATGAAAGTATGTTTTCCCAAGCCTTCAACAAGTGCCCCTTCTTCCCACTAAAGAAGATTCCAGGCTTCAGGCCCGGTGAACGTGCACACATTAAACCTATTGTGAAGCCTTAGTTACCTGTATGACGAGTGGCAGGAGGTAGAAGAGCACGAACTCGGCGTACTTGAACAACACGAACGCTTCGAACGATGGGAACCGCATGACGCATGGTGCGAAGCCTGGTCTGGCGCACTGTATCTCGTGGTAGACGAGGTTGGGCGCCGCCAACAGCGCCGACAGAGGCCACAGCGCGCCGATGACCAGTCGAACTCGCTTGCGACAGCAGAGCAGATGAGCCCGCATCGGGTGCACAATGGCAACGTACCTGCACACGCCACGACAGCAGTAGCTGCTCAGTGCTTGTATCGCCGTGTAACAGTGACCACAGATAATCGAAAACAATAGTGCCATGAAGAATTCTCTACGATCTACGCACCACTTTCATAAAACTGGAAGCCATTTACAAAACAGTACTTTGTATAGCTTGATCTTTATTAACTGGAAAATCAAGACAGACAAATTGACGACAGATATTCAAGTAGAACTTTTTCTTGGGATAGTTGGCGCATGGTTTACGGAAGCTGTAAGGCGCAAATAAAGGAACGCAATAAGAGACGCGGATAAACGCCTAACTGCGTTCGTTCATGTTGTGTTCGTCTCGTTTACGCCTTATTTCTTCCATACGACAACAGATACTAGGTGTCATCTATCCTTTTGTCTTTGTTTGTCTTTTACCCATTGTTAACTTTTCGCTATTAAGAACAGTACAGCGCATCTTGTTCGCTCATTTCTAATAGGCACCCGACAGTGGACCAGAGGGCGCGAGGCAGCTTTTTGGGCAGCCTCAACATTGCTTATACCGACCACCAGAGATACCAAGAAAATGAAACTCTCGCTGAACACATTGAGGCGCTAAAGTGTCAATGACTTTTTGGGCACGTTTTCAAAGAAGGCTTCCTGGGTGCTTACAGAATGAGCCGTGACCTCCCCTCCCCCCTGCTCACAACCAAAAAAGAAAATAATATGCATAGGCAAATGCTGTTTTGCTGCGTCTACACGCTAGGCTGTGCGTTTTGGTGCTACCATCAGATCTCGTAAACTGCATTGCCGGGTGCCCATTTAAATGTAAAAAGATAGCGTAGCTACCACACACAGAACTGGATTAAAAAAAAGAACCATCAAGCCCAAATTTGTGGCCAAGTTTGTATATGTAAACAAAAGGCTAGAGTCACATGTGATTATATTTACCTGCACGTTTAACAATATCTGGCGGTTTAAATTCACGGAGCCCTTCACTGCGGCTTTTGTTATAACCATACCGTGACTTTTGAGATGCAAAACCCCACAGTCCTTGTCCAAGAACAATGAAGTTTCGCTTAGGAAGGAGGTAACCGACACTCTCCGTTAACGACAATGTTCCACAATGATACTGAAATAAAAGAAGAGAACAACCTCTAAGCAATCCTTCACAGTACAAGACAAGCCGCGTCATGTGGATTGTCAAAAAAAAAATAACAATGTTGAAGCGCTCTTTATGTACTGAAGCTAGTGCATTAGGCGGCCCCAGTGGGTCGGTTGTCAACTACTTCTTGTCTTCGACCACCCTTCCCATAAAATGTGCATTTGGCTGGAAATGCGATTATCTGAGCATTTCGTAGCTGCCTCTCACATGCAAGCTCGCCTGCACATCAATTCAAGTATTGTCAGTTCTCAGTGTAATGACGCATACGTTCGCTTACAGCGAGTGAATCTCCACAGATGATAAGCATACATTTATACTTTCTTGCTCGTTCGCTAATAGAAATCTTGACACTATGAGTGGGTGGAAGAGGTTTCCACCATGGCTAAAAATGCTGTCACTCCTCTAACCCAACAGTAAACAAAGAAGTGTCCTTTGGCCTTTTCTCACTCTTCCGTTTCTTTACTGTACACACACGGTCATAAAAGATGCGTACATCCCGTCCTTTAAATCGAAGTGTCGCAGCTGCGAACGATCAATCAACGTCCAACCGCATATTCTTGAAACTATAGCACGCACAAATACACGGGTTTCCATACGCTTTGGAATAATGGCCTATGGATGGATCTGTGGAGGAGCGTCTTCCTTCCGTTGTCGCGCTGCTAACGCAAGCTTTACTTTATGCGTATCGGTGGCCCGGCAGCTTCTGTGTTTTAGATCCTATAATTATTTCAAAAAATGTTGTTATTTTATAAAGACAATGTTTGAGAGCTCGAACTTCGGTTCGCTCTTGTCGTACACTCTTTCTTTCACGCACGCCATCGTTAGTCCCACTTCTTTATATTGGTCTCACCGCATTAAAAAATACCAAAATGTTGTCCCACTTCTTTCACGACGTACCTAATTGAGATAACTGTGATAGAAGATGCTATGGCAGCTGGGAACGATAATCGCTGTGCTGCTCCGCAGACCTCGACATGGACGATATTCAGTGCACCATTCTGTGGTCCTAGATTACAACGTCGTCTTCCCGCATATATCCAATGACAGAACTGTAAAATGTTAAGACAATACCAGCGCACATCGCAAAGACGTTAAACTGCAGAATTCGAAGGTGTCTGCTGTTAACGTCTGCTCCTTGTTTGGTCTTGTTCGAGCCTTACAGAATATGGCGCATAGCCGATCTGCGGGAAAGGCCAAGAGCTTGTAGTTTTAAATTAAATAGATAATCTGAACAATGTTAATGATAAAGTGAGTTCTTCTTTATTTTGTCCTCCGCACATGGCACACACACAAGAGGAGATTGGCAGAGTAAAAGTTGACTTCTTCCCATAATAACAGCACTACGTCATTCTTACGTCCACAATTTAATCATTGTAATTAGTTGCTGATTTAAAGTGTCAATTTCTAGTAATGAGAAACATTATCTATGCCAAACTTTGCCGCAGATTCTTTTAGTCGTAGTGAAACAGTCCTGCATGACAAAGAAAACATCTCTGTGGCTGTACCCCGCAGAAGTGGCCCCAAACGAAAGGAGAAGACGTTCTAATTGTTCCAGGCTAAGGCTCAACGGGCTTTAGGCTTGCTGCGAAGAATTAGTAATCACAAATTTGGTTAACATAGAGACACCATGTTAATGGTATAGAAATGTATATGCGCCCAATATTAGAATTCGGATGTGTCTTGTTTTCAGGAGGACCTGCGTACAAAACTAAGCCTCTGGTTCAATTGGAGCGGCAAGCTCTGCGCTTGTGCCTGGGGCTCCCTAGGTTTACAGCAATTAATGCTATTCATCAGAAAGCGCGTCTGCCTACATTGCTCTGTCGATTCCGCTTGTTAACAGTACAGACATTTCTAAAATTTTACAGCTTACCAGTGAGAAGAGCTGAACACGTTTTCATCAGTAACCCAGATTCGTTCTTCCTCGCTCATTGGCCTCGTTTTCATACACCGCCGATAATCTATGTACAAAAGAAACTGACAAGAGTAAATGTAGACATTAGTGACGTAATTGCATTTGATATCTCAAACCATATAATTAGTATTGGATATGATGAGATCTTTCCTCTGTAATCTAAATTTAAATCCCGCTAATTATTAGAGAACAGCCTAGCAGATTTCCGGCAGCATACACAGACACGTAACATAATAGTCACAGATGCTTCCGTCAATGAGGAAAGGGCAGGCGTAGGAATAGTCTCCCAATCACTTGGCTGGTCATTCGCCGCGAGGCTTGCCGATTTCACTCCTGTTTTTGAAGTGGAGCTAATGGCAGTCATCATGGCACTGCGAAAACTTCCGAGGAATGAAAACACAGCAATAATAATTACTGATTCACTCTCAGTGTGCAAAGCTCTTACAACTTCTCATACCTCTCGTGCCATCAGGATGTTACGGTCTTTAGTTATATCTCAGCTGAAGTACCCGAAATTAGTATGGGTACCAGGTCACTGTGGGTTAACATTACAAAGAAATGGCCGACGTCTTAGCTCGCTCATCGCTAGATCTCCCAATAAATCAGGTTCTACCGGTGGTAGAATACTTCACCGCAATCAGGTTTAGAAGATCAGCTATTCACACAGATTGGATGGAAACATTAATCACGTGTGCGGGATATAATCACTTAAAATATCCACGGAAATTGCAGTGGAACCATTCTCGACAATCAGAGGTCATCACCAGATTGCAATGTCATGTGCCCCCTATCAAACTTTCAGTGGTACAGGGCTGGTCCGACGATATCACCCCTCTGCCAATTCTGCGGAAAACTGTAAAAGATCGCACAATACTTTTTCTCTCGTATCATAACTCGACATCTAATTACTCCTTTTACGAAAATAGGCTTGACCTTATCGAAAAAATGTTTTAAGCTTCGGTGCCTCAGGTGTGGGATACTGCCACAAGGACGCCTTTGATGCCATGTGTAATTTCATTATAACAACTCAACAAATACCATTTTAATCAGGCATGTAAAATTCTTCGTCATTTTGTTAAGTTAAAACTTAAGTTCCCAAAATTATTCCTGTCAGATCATTACGGCAACCTGGAATACAGGCTCAAAAGCATATTACTTGTAGTTAAATTGAATATTTGACATATTATTTCCGTTTCGTTTCTTTATTTTTGTTTTAAATTTCATAGCTTACCTAAAATAACATTTAACAGTCTCTACGTTGCATTCTTGGCCAATCCCCCAAAGTGGGTACGTGCCATGTATCGAGGAAAGCAAATCGAAGGAAAAACCAGGTCCAGTTTTTGCAGAGGTGGTGCTAATATGCTCCTACTCAATAATTTAAATCGGAGACAAGTTATAAGAAAATGACCAGTCGATGGTTTTGTCCTGATTACAGAAAACACAAAGGCGAATTCAGTAAATCTGATCTATAAACATAAAAATTGAGGGATGTAAAGCATCATTAAAATTTTGTGATGGCAACTTCCATCATCCTTGAACTAGCCAGATGGCTGCGTCAGATAAATAAAAGGTATTTGTAATCAGATGAAGCAGTCCGTGCTAGATCAGATTTACTTTTCTCTTTCCTTTCTTTACAGGATTCTCTCTGTCGTAGGTAGTAAAAAACTCAACCTAGCAACATTGGCATTCAGTCAGAAGTCACCTCTCAGAATCTAGGGGTGCAAATATTGGGTTCGACTGTGGGGTATGCGAGTAGCTCGTGCACGGGATGTTCAATTGCGTTCATCACTACGAAAGAAGAACAACACGTTCAAGGGGGGTCAAGGAAGACGAACATACAGCCTTACATACGTGTCATTTCGCGTCCGATAATGTCTGATGTACGTCCCTAAAAGCTTTGTGTGAAAACCGTGAACACAACTATTGATAAAAGCACCAACCCGGTAACCGC